TTCACTACAAAAACATGCATTATGTCAAAGTGAAGGCTTTCCTTTTTTAATTTTTTTTATTTTTTGAGACAGCTTCTCATTATGTTTCTCTGGCTAAAGTACAGTGACATGACCATGACTCACTGACGCCTTGACCACCTAAGCTCAAGTGATCCTCCCCCCTTTTCCTCAGCTTTCTGAGTAGCTGGGACCAAAGGTACACACCACCATGTCTGGCTAATTTTTTTTCTTGGAGATGGGATCTTGCTGTGTTGCCCAGGCTGGTCTTGAACTCTTGGGCTCAAGCAGTCTTCCTGCTTTGGCCTCCCAAAGTGCTGGGATTACAGGTGTTAGCCATAACACCTGTCCTGAAATCTTTCTTTCTTTCTTTCTTTCTTTCTTTCTTTTTTTTTTTTTTTACTTAGTAGCATGAAAATGGAGAAATCTTTCTTAATTTTTACTTTCTTCTATGTCTTAATTTTCTTCTATGGTTAGCTTTGTTAAATTCTTCTCCAAGTGAATTGTTGTCATATTTTGTTAGCCACAAAAACAATAGTATCCCCTAAGCCCTTTCTTCACATCTTTACTACATTGGATATTTTTGTGACTAAGATTTTGCCAGTCACAGGAAGTAATTTCATGACTAAGATTTTGCCAGGCACAGGAAGTTTTCAAGTGAGGTGAGTGATTACGATAAAGCCAGGGGAAAGCACAGGGCATAATATTGAAGTGAGTGAGTGAATAAGTATGGAAGAGTGGAAGGAGATGAGGCCAGAAAGATAATCTGGGTTTATGGAAGGTCTTTTTCATATGCTAAAACGTTTGGCATAATTTCTTCAAATAGTAAGGAGCCATCAGAGGCTTTTAAGGAAGGAAATGACATAAACACATTTTTGTTGGTTAGATCACTAGCAAAAGTGTGAAGAATGGTGTGAAGAAGGGGAGAAATGAGACCTTCACCTCAGAAAGTCATTGCAGGCTGGGCACGGTGGCTCACGCCTGTAATAGGCAGATCACCTGAGGTCAGGAGTTGGAGACCTGCCTGGCTAACATGACAAAACCCTGTCTCTACTAAAAATTTAAAAATCAGCCGGGCGTGATGGTGTACGTCTGTAGTCCCAGCTACTCAGGAAGCTGAGGCAGGAGAATCGCTTGAGCCTGCGAGGCAGAGGTTACAGTGAGCTGAGATCGAGCCACAGCACTCCAGCCTGGGCGACAGTGAGTAGAACTCTACCTCAAAAAAGAAAAAAAAAAGTCATTGCAATTCTCCATACTCGGTCTTTATAAGTGACTCTCTCTCAATGAGATTTAGGCAAACAGTAAACCTGAACTGAGCACATGGAGTCTGGTGAGAGCAGTATAGATTCATTGTTTGCCTGCTGGAAACTTGCACCACTAATGTTACATTGAGTTGATGAGAAACTATGTAGGCTAGAAAGGATTGGAAAACTCCTAGACTGCTAGTTTGGGTGTCAGAGTGGAAGGCTGGCATGTGATGAATATTATTGAGAACATAAAATAGTTAATCAATTTTAGTGTTCCACTTGCCATTATCCTTACCACCAAGACGATTAGAATTTTTAGTGGATAGTTGGAAATTTTAATAGATTCTAAAATGGATGTGGAACAATTTTACTTTGTATCAGTATGATTTTATCCACTTGATAGCACTGTATTTGTATTTTTTCATTCATTTATAAATAAATAGTTATAAGTATATTTTCCAAACCTTGTGTTTGAAGGTAAGCAGCTGCTCCCTTTGTCCAGCAGTGTACATAGCAGTGTGGGACAGGTGACTTGGCAGTCGTCAGGAGAAACATCAAACCTGGTTCGAATGAGAAACCAGTCCCTTGGACAGTCTGCACCTTCTCTTACTGCTGGCCTGGTAAGTGTTCATAAAGGTGGTGTTTTGCTCTATAAAAAATTCTTAATTGTCATTTGTCTTTGCGACATCTGTCCTTTTTCCTTTTTAGGATTTGGAGAATTCAATTTCCCAAAGTGAAGTATGGAAAAGAGTGACTTTTTTTTTTTTTTTTTTTTTTTTTTTTGAAATGGATTTTTTTTTTTTTTTTTTTTTTTTTTTTTTTTTTTACTTAGTAGCATGAAAATG